CCTGGTATTCAGTAGTATCAAGTCATTATGTCATGTTTCATGTTGCCTGGTATTCAGTAGTATCAAGTCATTATGTCATGTTTCAAGTTGCCTGGTATTTAGTAGTATCAAGGATTTAGCACTTGTATCAGGATTGAAATCATAACTTACAATCAACCTCACACTTGATTAGCAAATGTGAAACTGATTTCAGTTTTGTTTTTAAAACTGACAGTCATCAGTCATATTCATTCTTGAGAACTTGTTTTTGTCAAAACTCTTGCAAAATATCAGAAACATAAAAGAAAGTAAAGTCCAAGGAATTAGGCTTAAACCTGTTAAAACTACATATTCTGAGAATGATATTTGTCACGTTTATTTATATTGAGATATGAAACATACACTAAACTGTTACATTTTACTTGGTGGCTAAGTAGTATACTAAGTAAGGAGGTTTAGAATCCTGAAACATGAATATTCAAATAAATTTTATGATCAAAATAAAGGGAACTTGTGTATATAATGGATGCCATTCATTATATTATACTGAAGTTTCATGTTTTAACCATATGAACATGAGCTCGTGTATTTTGCACGACCTTATAACCACCATGAAACCGAGAAATTGTCAAAATGTATTTGTGTAATTCATAAAACCTCCTAAATAAATAGCAAGCTCTTTTTTTTTCAGTGAAACTTTATATTTTATCTGTTATTTTCTCTATCCAAACTCTATATGCATTTGATCAATCTCACTGACCTTATAACCACCATAAAAATACAAAATAAATCTAAATTACCCTTTTTTACTTTCTAGAATGACTGCAGATAGTAATAGAAAACTACAATTGTTTATCATAAATAGCTTAAAGCTTGCAACATCTGTTTATATTTAATTTAATTTTTTTATTGTCCTTGGAACTGTGTTTAACTAATAATCCCACCACACAAGTTGTAAATCACTTAGCAAACACGTAGCTCACTTTACTGTATTGAATGATATAATGCACAAACTGCTTGTGAGCATACCTCGTGTGGAACTTTTATTTTTCATTATTTTACCTAATCTAACATTATCTAACATAATAAGTTACTATTTTTTACATATAAGTTACTTTTATAACAATAAATAAAGAATATACATGAAAAATAAGAAATATTTTGTAAGAAAAATTAAGAAATTAAAACTTGTATATTAAAATTTGATTTATTAACTATGTTTTGATGCCAAGTTTATTCGTTTATATAGATAATGGTTTAATTAAATTTTGAATGTAATTCTGCAAGAAATTGTGACATGCACACTTTTACTTTCACGTTGATACAGGGTTAAGATGTTTTTTATAATTCATACATAGTAGGCACAAAACATATTTTTATCACATATAAATTTGTACTGAAATTTTATTGGGTCATTGGTTGAGTTCCTTAAAATTCATTTTATGTGTGTGTTATCTTTTTTCATTTCAGCATGCTGAGACCGCAAACAACACTACTTTTACTGTTGTAACAACCAATAACAAGGCAAGTTTACAGTCCACAGGGAAGGGTAGCCAGTCAGTAACTTTAAATGTTGAAAAGTTAATGTCATATATGCTTCCCCAGAGTTCTCCAAGTAGGGGCCGTGGCAGGGGTAGACCAAGGGGTAGAGGTCGAGGAAGAGGACGACCATCGGTAGACAGCTCTTCACAAAGGAGAGAGAAAAGTCCTAGACGCCAAACTCAAAGAAACATTTCTAGTGAAAATTTGTCTGTTGATGGTAAGTTCTCATGTTTTTCATGTGTAAGTGATTTTTAACAACAAATTGTAAATGAACTGTTCAGTTTATCCATGATTCTTATACAACAAATTTTATATAAGCTGTTCAGTTAATCCTTATGGAAGTGATTTTTAACAACAAATCATATATCATCTGTTCAGTTAATCCTTATGGAAGTGATTTTTAACAACAAATCATATATCAGCTGTTCAGTTAATCCTTGTGTTAATAATTTTGTACAACACTTTATATATCAGTTGTTCTTAACACGTAATTGATTTTTTTTAAAAATTTACTTCATATATACCTAGTCTTATAATATACGCTTATTTACTTTCATTAGAACCTACAAGTGATTCTAAGTCATCTTCTGAATGTGAAGCCTCAGATGTATGTGACGATGATGACATTGATGATGAAGATGAGAAATCTGCCACTGCTAAAATTGCCAGTAGTGGCTTAACATCTACATCAGGTCGAGGGACAAAGCGACATAACTATGGAAGTGAAGGTAAGAACTTGTAATTAATAGCTAAAAGGAAGTGATATGTTTCTTTGTGATTAGTGAGAGAACTACTGAGAGTAAGGCTATTAACTGTTTCAGTATGGGTTTGGTTCATATAACCATGAAACTATGTGCACTAAAACTTTTAATGTGGTAATTGTATCTTCACGAAACTTACCAAGGTTCTTAGTAAATATAACACAAAAATTTTTAATTAAGTTTTTTACTAAACATTTGTCTGTGAACTTGTGGAGTCAATGGTGATTTTCATGTTTTTTTTACTAAACTCTGTGAACTTGTGGAGTCAATGGTGATTTTCATGTTTTTTTTACTAAACTCTGTGAACTTGTGGAGTCAATGGTGATTGTTAAGACTAAAATTAATTTTTTCATCTTACAGTTTTAAAATTTCTCATTTGCATAACCTCTAAAACCTTCTAAATGAATATCAAAAGTTTTTTCAGTCAAACTTTGTATTCTGTCTGCTGTCTTCTGTACCATCAGACTTTTAACAATTTACACCTGTTATTTGATTTTGTTGTTTTATTGGTCTTTAAACTATTAGATCTGCATAACAAGCTAGAAATCCCTCGGTGATTGCATAGTTCAAGTTATGAACAAGTGTTCCACATGTATACCTTGTGGAAGTTCAAGTTATGAACAAGTGTTCCACATGTATACCTTGTGGAAGTTCAAGTTATGAACAAGTGTTCCACATGTATACCTTGTGGAAGTTCAAGTTATGAACAAGCTTCCCATGTGTATACCTCGTGGAAGTTCAAGTTATGAACAAGTGTTCCACGTGTATACCTTGTGGAAGTTCAAGTTATGAACAAGCTTCCCATGTGTATACCTTGTGGAAGTTCAAGTTATGAACAAGCTTTCCACGTGTATACCTCGTGGAGAAATCTTTTCATATATTTTTTCATATTTTTTCATTATTGTACCAAATCTAACCTATTAAGCTTCTAACTTTTACATTTCAGTCATTTTTAAAACAATAAATATATAAAAAACCCAGGAATCTAGTACTTATGTGTGGATCTGGTATGTTTTACACTTGAAAACTCAAAATGTCAGTTATCGTTACCTTAATTTTTGTTAGAGTAGTTGTTAGTACTTTCCTGACTTTTTTATTTATTTCAAATGTTCAGTTTAGAACGAAAATAATAACACACACAAACCATGCAATGTCTTGTAATTATTATAATTTCTAACTTAAGTACCTGAAAGTAATTCCGTTAGCTGGTTGAGCTGAACTTGGTAATAGAAACTTCAAACTTGCATGCCAGGTACTTCAAAAACTGTTGTGTGAATGAGCTAATATTATATGAAAATCAGTAAATTAAAATTTTAAATAATATAATGGCAAGGATCAGAGAGAATTACTGACATTTTAAAAAAAGACAATATGTGATAGGAGGGTGGACCATGTAATCTAACCTCCAATCTTCTTGTTCTGCTTAGCAATATCTATAAGTTTGTAATTTGCATTAAAACTGAGAAGCTCAGATAGAGGTTATTTAAAATGTGCGGTTCAGAACAAACAAGTCACGTTAGACACTAAAGTGTAGAGTATGATATTAAAATTGATTTACTTACCACATTCTGATGCTAAGTTTCTTGACACGCATTAATAATAAAGTAGTTTAATCAAATTAAAAAAGTCATGACGTGCATGCTTTTACCTACCCGAGTTTGGGGGTTAGTAACAGTCGTGAGTGGACTGTGTAGCTGTAGCATGACGTAGTTTAGATGAGGGTAAGGGGGTTAGTAACAGTCGTGAGTGGACTGTGTAGCTGTAGCATGACATAGTTTAGATGAGGGTAAGGGGGTTAGTAACAGTCGTGAGTGGACTGTGTAGCTGTAGCATAACGTAGTTTAGATGAGGGTAAGGGGGTTAGTAACAGTCGTGAGTGGACTGTGTAGCTGTAGCATGACGTAGTTTAGATGAGGGTAAGGGGGTTAGTAACAGTCGTTAGTGGACTGTGTAGCTGTAGCATGACGTAGTTTAGATGAGGGTAAGACTTTACAACTTAAAAGAAAAAATCATATTTCTTCAGTCACATGTGAGCTTTAATCATGAAACAAGTGAGTAAGTGTATTCTGATTAAATGTTTCTAATTAGAAAAGTGTTCATATAGTTTTTACTTTACAAATTAGTTTTGTTGGGTAAAAACTCAACAGTCTATGGTTTTAATGTATCATTGCAGCTATAGGGATGTGAGCATATAATGTTTGGTGTGAGTATATCATTCTCTTTGTAAAACACTTCAACCATTTAGTAAAGTTTACTTTAACTTCAAACATTAATTATTGTTGTCTTTCTGTCAGTAGGGTCTTCCCCAAAAAAGAAAAGAATTTTACCCGATGAAACGGAAATCAGGATTCCATTAGAACATGGGTATGTTGTGTTTTTTTTTCTTTGGCAAAGTTATAGATGAGTATAACATCCAATGGAAAACAGTGTTTTGTACGTAAACAAGATTAGTGATAGTTGATATAATTCTTTAATAATGTGGTGAAAATTTATGACATAATATCTGATTTAATCTAGCAGGAACTGCTATAAACTAAAAGGATCTAACATGTTCACGTTGTAGTTTGTTCAAAATTACAAACATTAAACACATGACCAAAAGTGATGATATGCAAGTCTTTTAGAAATTGAGAATAATATGAACTGAATACAGAAGTCATATATCAGGTATGAATTTTGCTAAGATAACAACTTTAAAATTTTAAAAAGTAGTTCTTCAAGTGTCTCCATTATTGAAAAAATTTTAAAACTACAAATTTATTATACTAAACTGATACATTTTGTGGTTTTAATTTTGAATAAAATATTTTTTAAAAACATGAAATTTTATGCCAGACTGCAGTTGTTTTTTTAACGTTACTCTTCATTTCTTTATTACAGATTTCAAGTCAGTGGTTTCCAATGCTCTGATGGCTTTCAGCATTTGAAACCATTGAAACTTGATAGACAGTAAAAAAGAACTTTGTCATGTTAGAAGGTCAAATCAATGTAGTACTATGTCAATAATTCCTGTTACCTGTTTTAATTTTCAGATGGCGTCGTCAAACTAAGATTCGATGTTTCAGTCGCTCAGGAGTTCGTGGAGAAGTTGTGTACTTTGCTCCTTGTGGGAAGAAACTAAGAAACTATCCAGAAGTAGTTCGGGTACATGAAACTATTGTTGAATAGTGTAAATTTATCTTGCTATGATTTTATGATTTTAAAATGAATTCACTAGGAAGTAGGTAACTTGAGATGTCTTTTTTTTTGTATATTGTTCTGTAAGTACTAGTTTCTATAAGGCTACAAAACAAACAAACAATATTTATAATTACAACAGAAATATACACATAAATCGAATATATAAATATGATGCGAGAAAATGAAAACGGGTATAAATGAAGTAGTTAAAAATCCAGTGTTTTTTCAAACCACCTAAGATATCCACTGTACCCAAACTTTCCTTGTACACCTGCTTACCATATCTTGGGAGACAGAGCTCCCTTATCACGAAACAGATGAAGAAGTTACATAACACTAACTATCCCCAAATGTTTTCCGCTATAAAGATCATTTGCCGACTGCCCATTGTTCACTTATATACGTGCGGAGACTGTAATGTTGGTGAAACCAAATGTCTCCTTAAAGTACAAGCATATGAACACATGGGCAAATCTATAAAAACTGGAAGAAAGGTTACAAACCCTCCTAACTCCGCTATCTATCAACACAATACAGAAACAGGACATCCCATTTCTCTCTCAAACTATAAAATTCTTTCATTGGCCAAACACGATACATTATATATAAAAACTCTTCTCCCATCCCTAAATAACACACAGTCTTCACTGGATTTAAACCTATTTTAACTATTTCACTTGTGCCTCAGTTTTAATTTTCTTGTGTTATATTTATATATTAGATTTGTTTATTTCTTATGGATATATTTCTATAAGGTGTTATAATTTTTTTTTGTCAATAAAATGTCCACTTGCATCAAATAACAGTGAACCTTGATGTTGATAGGGTTTAACATGTTTTAACAGTACTTCCAACGGCATGGTATAACTGACTAATGATAAGGTCCTTAATGTTAAGGGTTTAACATGTTTTAACAGTACTTCCAACAGCATGGTATAACTGACTAATGATAAGGTCCTTAATGTTAAGGGTTTAACATGTTTTAACAGTACCTCCAACGGCATGGTATAACTGACTAATGATAAGGTTCTTAATATTAAGGGTTTAACATGTTTTCTATTGATGTTTTAACAGTACCTCCAATGGCATGGTATAACTGACTAATGATAAGGTCCTTAACGTTATGGGTTTAACATGTTTTCTATTGATGTTTTAACAGTACCTCCAACGGCATGGTATAACTGACTAATGATAAGGTTCTTAATATTAAGGGTTTAACATGTTTTCTATTGATGTTTTAACAGTACCTCCAATGGCATGGTATAACTGACTAATGATAAGGTTCTTAATATTAAAGGTTTAACATGTTTTAACAGTACCTCCAACAGCATGGTATAACTGACTAATGATAAGGTCCTTAATGTTACGGGTTTAACATGTTTTAACAGTACCTCCAACTGCATGGTATAACTGACTAATGATAAGGTTCTTAATATTAAGGGTTTAACATGTTTTCTATTGATGTTTTAACAGTACCTCCAACAGCGTGGTATAACTGACTAATGAGAAGGTTCTTAATATTAAGGGTTTAACATGTTTTCTATTGATGTTTTAACAGTACCTCCAACGGCATGGTATAACTGACTAATGATAAGGTCCTTAATGTTAAGGGTTTAACATGTTTTTAACAGTA